CGACCCGGGAGGAGAGGGGGTGGGACGGGCTCCAGCCGGGGATCGCAGAGTCCTTCGGGTTGAGAGGAGCTTTAGGATGGGATCTGAATCGTTCAGGTTGGAAAGGAGCTCTGGGATCATCCCGTCCCCACTAAGCACGTCCTGAAGTGCCACGGCCACAGGCTTTTAAACCCCTCCGGTCCAAGGGAGGTTCTGGGAGGGCTCCAGTTCTGCCCCCCGGGGTGTTAGCAGGAGCAGAGCAGCATTTGAAGCACTCTGTGTGCAAACTGCACCTCACAAAAGCACCGGGAATGATGAAGAATCATGAAAATGCCTCGTTAGCAAATGTGAAAGATAACAAAGGAGCCTAAGCTCAGCAGAAGCACAGCCAGAGAAAATGCCAGCCAAGGAGGAGCAGCAACAGGGATTCTGTGGGGCTGTGGGACAAGTGTTTCAGGCCAGTTTTGAGGCTAGAGAGATGACATGAGATGATTTCCAGGGGAAACAAGTTACCAGAGTCTGGAGTTCACCAGCACAGCTCAAACCCTGGCAGGCCCAGGAATGACACACTTGGTATCAGATGGCTCCAGCTCCTAATTCTGCTCCCTGGTCGTGTATTGAACAGCCCTGAGAGGAAAATGAAAGGAAAAAAACCAAACCCAGGGTATGTTCAGAGCAGCAAGCTGCTCCCCATGGTTAGTTTGGGTACAGAATCTGGGTGTACTCCACACTCAGTACTGCAGGGACAAGGAAAGACTCAGCATGGCAACAGCAGAGCTCTGCTGAGCTCACCAGCTCCTGCTGGACAGCAGAAAGAGAGGTCAGAGCAGAGAGCTGCCAGAAAAGCCACAGTATTTACTCTTCAAACAGCTCCAAAGGGTGTCCAGGGAACTGGCCTCACTGCTCGACACAGCACAGAGCTCACAGGAGAGCCAACCAAGGCAGCCAGCCCAGCTAAAAGCACTGCAGGAACTCAGCACCTCAGAAAAACCAGCAGCCTCCTCAGTTAGGGTCAGGTAAAGTTGCTTTTCTGCAACATTTTCCCCCACAGAGCTCAGTTTTAAAGGGCCTTGATGGTGTCAGAGGCATGGGAGCTGGAGGAGCAGCCAGGGATTGACCCATCAGGGACATGCACAAGGGTCTTTGGGAAAATCCATTTGGTGGAGTAAATAATGTGGTGGAATAAAATGATCTTTTAAGACCCCACTGAACCAGGGTCACGTTGTCCCTGTTGCTCCACAGCCCAAGGGCTGGACCTGATGGAGGGAGAGGAACAGGATTTACAGAACCCACTCAGCAGCAGAGCATCACCTGCAATTTATTGTGCAACAAGCCTCCAGAACTTCCTCCCCAATTCCCCCAAACACAGTTACAGACCTGAAACCAAAAGGTGTTTCCACAAACACTCCTGTTGCTCAAATACTGATTCTCCTCCCCAGCCAGAGAAAAAAAACAGGTGGGTTAACCAGATCTGGACTCCACACTCTGAACTCTTTCAGCAGGCACTGCTGGGGCAATAACCACTTCATTTTTTGCCCTCAGTGGACACAGTCTCCCTCAGCCTCCCACCTCACAGTCAAGAAACAAACCACAGTGGGCTCTGAGTTGAAAATCCTGCTGCTGTGCTGTGCACAGCCAGTGAGGCAGGAGGTGGTGTGTTGGTGCAAGAAGCCAGCAGCTCCTGATGCCCACAGGACCAGGCAGCACCTCACTAGGAGGCTTCCAGGCTGTCATTTCACAGCCAGATCCATCTGTGGCTGCAGAGGGACATCATCTGGTTTCCACTAGAGTGTACATCCTGTTGTCAGCTCAGTCTTCTCAGCACATTGCTGAGGAGCAACCTGTGAGGAGCAGGCAGACAGTGCCCCCTTCCTCCCACACCCCCCCGTGGCATGAAGGGGACTTGCCCAACTCACCACACAGCTCAGAAATCACTTAAGAACTCCCAAATGTGAGTAAAACCAACCACACACCTCAGCACACCTGCAAGGTCTGCCCAGAGAGTAATGCAGCAAGGGAGAGGAAAGCAGTGGGTGCTAAAGCTGGCAGAGAGACACTCACCCTCTAAACACAAACCCTGGGGTCCCCCCCAAGTCCTACAGGTCTCCCTAGGTGCTGTTAGGAAGTGCTGTTTATCTACCACAGGGTGGTGGCCTGGCCAAAAGCCTCACCCAGAGTGGCTTCTCCAGGCCAGCAGCAGGAACACTGCTGCCCAAAGGGCTTCGTATTCCAGGTTGGCCAAAAAGCACATCTTCATTTTGGTTTCTACCCTGCTCTTCTCCACCAGCCCCTCCATGAGCAGTGCAGCTGCAGCCTGGCAGAGGAGCCAGGTCACCACCTGGTCAGGTCTCAGGCTCCTGGATCCCAGGATGCTGCCACCCCAGAGGCTGAGGTGAAGCACGTTGGCAGCCACTCGAGCAGAAAGTCTCTGCAAAAGGAAGGAGAGGGGAGATTAGCTGATGGCACACGAGCAGTTTGGAGCCTCCACGCTGCCAAAAGTCCTCCAGGCCTCCTCAGAGGCTCCTCACAGTGCCTGTGAATGAGAAAGCTCTGTGTGACTGTTGGTGTCAGGGAACTGCACGTGAGCCCCTCTCAGTTCAAGGTCCAGTCCCTGGAATCTGCTGAAATTCCCAAACCCAGCCTGAGGGAGCTGTCAGGGCAAAGTGATCACAGAATGGGTTGGGTTGGAAAGGACCTTAAAGATCACCCAGTTCCACCCCCCTGCCATGGGCAGGGACACCTCCCACTCGCGCAGG